TAGGGTTCAGGTTTAGACAAGTGTTTAGATGACGTAGGATTCAGGTTTAGACAGGTGTCCAGATTACATAGGGTTCAGTTTAGACAGGTGTCCAGATTATGTTGTGTGCAGGTTTAGACAGGTGTCCAGATTACGTAGGGTTCAGGTTTAGACAGGTGTCTAGATTATGTAGGGTTCAGTTTAGACAGGTGTCCAGATTTTGCAGGGATCAGATTACACAGGGTTCATTTTAGACAGGGTTCAGATTACATAGAGTTCAGTTTAGACAGTTGTCCAGATTACATAGGGTTCAGTTTAGACAGGTGTCTAGATTACGTAGGGTTCAGTTTAGACAGGTGTCCAGATTTTGCAGGGATCTGATTACACAGGGTTTAGATTAGACATGTGTCCAGATTACACATGGTTCAGTTTAGACATGTGTTCAGATTACACAAGGTTCAGTTTAGACAGGTGTCCAGATTACGTAGGGTTCAGTTTAGACAGGTGTCCAGATTATGTAGGGTTCAGGTTTAGACAAGTGTCCAGATTAGGTAGGGTTCAGGTTTAGACAGGTGTCTAGATGACGTAGGATTCAGGTTTAGACAGGTGTCCAGATTACATAGGGTTCAGTATAGACATGTGTCCAGATTACATAGGGTTCAGTTTAGACAAGTGTCCAGATTAGGTAGGGTTCAGGTTTAGACAGGTGTCTAGATGACATAGGATTCAGGTTTAGACAGGTGTCCAGATTACATAGGGTTCAGTATAGACATGTGTCCAGATTACATAGGGTTCAGTTTAGACAGTTGTCCAGATTACGTAGGGTTCAGGTTTAGACAGGTGTCCAAATTATGTAGGGTTCAGGTTTAGACATGTGTCTAGATTAAGTAGGGTTCAGTTTAGACAGTTGTCCAGATTACATAGGGTTCAGTTTAGACAGGTGTCCAGATTATGTAGGGTTCAGGTTTAGACAGGTGTCCAGATTACGTAGGGTTCAGGTTTAGACAGGTGTCTAGATTATGTA